GCGGCCGCGATTTCTGATATTATTTTTCTGCGAAAACTTCGTTGACCTTTGGAGACATCATTAATATAAATAATTTTTATGGCCGTTAAATAAGAAATGTTTCTTTCACAAGAAATGTATAAAATTACAGTACTAAACAGACGATAGGTCGCCTAACTCGCCGTAGCGTGACGCTAGACGGCGAAAAATATATATTTAATTATAATAAAGTTACAATAAATTAAGTTAATATATAATTATATGAACAGACGATACTAAACTCAATTTATTCGCCTAAACGTCCGTAGCGTGGCGCTACGGACGGCGGGTAAGTAGTTCGGCTGCCCGATGACGTTTTACGTATTATAGGAGTTATTTTTACCGTTGTTTACGGATAATGCCACAATTTTTATAGGAATCATAACTATAGGAAACGGTTTTATAGGGGGATCTACTGTATATGATAGGAAAAAAAGCCATAAAAAAATATGTTAAATTAATATTTGTATTTGTTTTTTATGTTAAAAAAAGATTTTAATTTTTCATAATTTATTTTTATTTTGAATACTATTTTCAGCATTTAAAATTATATTTTTACTGAAGTTTAACTTTATGCTTCAATCTACTTATTTTTCTTCAGCTCACCTTTGGTTCAATGTTGGCAGCCTTATTTATAACTGGTATAGATTCTCATTAATGAGTATTTTTGTATAAACCATAATATATTTTGAGAAATAAATTATTTAATAAAATCATCTACTTTAATTGTAAATAAAATTCTGAAATTTTCAATTAATATTTATTCAAATATATTATTTTACAACTTGTTTATAAAGATATAAAGATGAAAAAATATAATTTTACTTATTTCTGTTATTTAACACAATGTTATTTTTGGAATACATTAACTGTACCTTTCAATAAAATTTTATCTAAAGCATTGAAAATGCATTTGAACTAAATTAATTACAATTAAAATCAAATCAATCAAAATCATTACTTTCAGACTGGAATGATGAACTTTTTTTAAATGAGGACATTGATACATTTTTTGTCATTTCATGATATTCTCTTTCTTCCTGTTCTGCTTTCAATTTTTGAATGCGAGCTTCTAATTCTGGATTCTGAAAATAATTATTTAAAGTAAATAACTAATTTCANAGAAGGTTATGGAAGAAAAGAATTGTTAAATTACTAAACATTTAATCATTAATAGCAGCTTGATATAATCTGGCAATCATCTGTCTTTAATCTAAAATCAGCTTTATAGATGTTTATATTTGTAACTTTATACTTTAAAATAGTCTAGTCTGATAAGTCAATGCCCCAAGGGGAAGTGGAAATGTGTCGAGTTAACCAATATGACAACTAAAACAAAGTTGAAAAAAACCACAAAACTATAATTAGGAAAATACACTAGTGCTCTGACCATCCATCACTGGCACTAAAGGTGGTTTCTACTCCAAGTACCTCAGCGATTTCCATCCCTTTTTGTTTCAGTATTGGCCCCGAAACAGGAAGATTCGATGAATGAATTTGCATTAGCCAATGTATCAGAGCATCTTTGACATCTTTGTACGGCAACTTTCTCTCTGGCATTTTCGAGACAGCCACAACGAAGATCCAAGAAAAAGTTTCTTAATTTCCTCTTTTTTCTTCAGAATTCCCACCAATGTTGTTCTTGGAAGGTTTTCTTGTTTTGCAAATTCGGCTTGCAAAATTTTATTACATTCAAATTCAGATACAAGTTCGTATTTTTCCTTCAGCATAAGTGTTGTTAGGTTTCGGATACGCATTTCTAACAGAAATGTGAAACACTTGCTGCAAATAGTACATGAATGAAAGGCAAGAAAATGCAAAATCGGATTCTGCTGCGACATTAAGCTGTGTGGTGTAAACTCATTTTTTTCAGGACTGTGTGGGAGTCAACAAGTGTGGTTTAGAAAAAGTATGTCAATTTATCCAGTGGTGACGAGTTAAACAGTGTCGAATAAACCAGAGTTTTTACATTAATTCCTGTGTAAATCAGCTGGGACCACAGAAAACTGACTACTTATCCAACAGTGTCTAGTTACACGTACGATGACTTACGTGGACTCGACTGTATTCTAAGAATTGTAATTATCCAAACAAAAAATCTGAGATGTAAAAAATTTCATCAAGTAAAAATTTAAGACAATTTAGATGACAATCAAAATTTTTCTTAGGTGTTTTTCTTTGGTAAAGATAAGCTTGGTGTTTTGGGCAAAATGTAGAAAATAATAATACAGGTAAAAATCTTGTGGGTACTGCTTCCAAGCACCAAGCTTTTCTTCATCAAAGAAAAACTCCTAAGAAAAATTTTGATTGTCATCTAAATTGTCATAAGTTTGTACTTGGCAAAATGTTTTTTATATCTCAAATGTTTTGTTTGGATATCAATTGATTTTGTTTAATAATTGTATTATTACATCAAGACATAAAATGATGGTGTATAATTCAGTCAATGCTTGGCAACAGAACACGCTGCTGACCAGTTAAAATCTGTAAAATTTATTGTACTGTAATAGCTAAGACAAGTCAAACAAGGAATAGAAATTGTAAATTCATCATAAACATCAATCAATAGGATATTTATTGCAACATACCACTTAAAGTATCACAAATTCGATGTATCGTTTTAAAAGATATAAGTCGATCTTGGTTCTCCAAAATATTTCTCATATCCGCATTTAATTCGTCATGTTTATTATTTTCATAATTTTGCAATTTCTCGAGAAATAGTTTCGAAGGACGAATCCCTACCAGCGGTTCTGAATATTCCGACATATTTCAAAATTTTATGATAATCTTACGTAAAAAACTGCATAATAAGTAATTTCTATGTATTTCACTTAAAACTTAGAATATAAGCATACATTTAACACACTCAAAATCATCACGTGCAATCAGAAAATACAAACAGCGCCACCTACCAGTCAAATTCTGTTCGCCGTAGCGGCATAATTTAGAATTAATGTTTACCAGAGAGTAGTGTTACCACCCGTCCGGTTTTCACCCGGACAGTCCGGGAATTGACTCACTGTCCGGGTGAAAACTATTAATTTTGTCCGGGAATTTCGTAGAAATTGTGAAATTACGATGAAACAAAGTTCTTGCAAATATTTTTACAAATTTACACAATTTTAACAGCGAAAGAACTGCAAGTTTACCATGTTTATATTCATTTAATTACTGCGACAATCTATAACATTACTGCAACGGATTTTTTCTTTTTTAAACCTCTTTCCGCCCTGTCGGCACTAAGAGGGTTTAGTGCCCACGGGCCTCTTTTTATGAAGCCCATTATGGGTTCGGCCAGGCCTATAATGGGCGGCCGGCTGGTGAAGAACGGGGCTCGACATATCTGGACGAACCCCCCCCCCCGAAAAATTGCTGAGTTTTTTCGACCCGTCCGGATTGGATTCCGGGTCCTCCAGAGAGGTAGACTACTAATTTAATCGTTCGGCCATTCAGCCTTGTTAACAAGACAATCGAAATTTCGGTCAACACTTGTCCCTAGTAGAAAGACGCTTTGCTTGCTCGGTAGAAAGACGCTTTGCTTGCTCGGTAGAAAGACGCTTTGCTTGCTATCGAACAAAATAAATTTGCTTGAAGTTAAAACGTTTTGATAAAGGTATACCTTTATCAATATTAATTGAGACAAGAAGCTTATATTAAAACGTTTTGCTTAACTTAATATTTTGACTTATTCAATGTGCGCTACACTATTTTATCTTTCTTAAACGCTTTGTTTAATTAAAGACGTTTTTATTGCCTCATCGTGCATCCAGCCTTTGGCCAATTTCGGATTTTTCCCGTTATATATACATAAATTATATAAATCTTATTTAATTTATATGTAATAAAATTATTTACATTAATTTATAAATTAATAATGTAAAAATTATTTACACAAGCATTAATCATTATTTTTATAATAATATTAGAAAAACTGATCAATTTATGTTAAAGGTGGCAACACTATTATCAAGGCCGGATTTAGGATCGAAACGTCACAAAGATGGCGACTGTAGAGAATTACTGGGCGAAGAATTTTGATGAAAGAAGTAAGAATGAAGAAGAAGAAGAACTGTTGGTCTTTGGATATAGTTGTAAACTGTTTCGTGACGATGAAAAAGCACTTTATATAGACCAAGGGAGGCATTTAATCCCTTGGATGAACGACGACAGCTTGATGATTGACAGGTCCGTTGCGTAGCAACCAAATCATCTTCGGAAATTTTAGAGAATTTGAAGGTTTTTTGAATTATTTGTTATCTATAATTGCCTTGATCAGTTTTGTCTAGAACTTCCGTAGGAAACCTTAAGAAAGGAGGAACAAGAGGTGGAGCTATCAGGACACACACAACTTGAGATTCGTAACCAAAAGAGTCCAAGACCAGAAAGGAGCTTCCTTAATTCTCTTGGTTTAATTGGATTTTAGACGTTAAGAATTTATATAATTTATTAATGGTAACAAATTTACTTTGTGATTATAAGCTAATATAATTTTCAGGTGGACTGATCGTTTTACAGTGTTGTAATTGCATATTTCCCATTTACGCCCAATAATTATATATATATTTCCGAAATTGTAATTCCATTCCATTGTCTTGTTTGTTAAGCATTGAAACGTTAAAATTGTTAAAGATCATTCCAGAAAAATGAATAATCGGCAGATAAAATCTTTGATACATTTTAAGATAAATATTAGCTTAGATATAACTATTATCTAAAATATGAAAGGCTCAAGTGTTGAATTATTTTAATAAGAAATAATGAAAAACAAGAATTTATATCTCAGTAACCACTCAGTTCACTGATGATTTTTATTTTTATTAAATGCTTTTCAGATATGTTGTTTATTTTTCCCATGAAAATAAATACAGTTGTCCCTCTATAGTCAGACGTTTTTTAATCCGACATGCTCAGTAGTCCGACGCACCTCCCGTCAAGGTACCCGTCCCCGTTACGTTCTGCTTGCACAGAAGCATGTCGTGATGTGAATCTCCCCATCCAATTTTTACACGATGACACACATTTCGTGTGTTTTATGTGAGCAGTTCTGTTCGAACAGTTGGAGTAGAGAATATTGTAAGTTATTGCTAGCAAAACAATGCGAAATATGTAATTATTTTTGGTAATCTGACACACCTTTGGTCCCATACCTGTCGGATTATCAAGGGACAACTGTATATATGAAGCATGCAATGCCATAATGTTGTAAATGCCATTTTTTCTGTAGCGAAAGACTATTGTGGTGATATTGGCACTGTAAGTGGTTGTATTTTGAAGATTAATTTATGTGAAAATATTATGTTTAAACTGCTAGAGTTTAAGCCACGTGACTTTTGGTGCTAAAATGTTACGGCTTATATTTACATCATTTTGATATTCCAGAGAATTTCTGACCTAGTGACTTTTTTACCATTTTATTGTAAAATTGAAATGAATGCATTCATTAGAAAAAGTGTTTTTTACCTCTTCTGAAAAGTTTCTTTTTTAGCATTTACAACATTATGGCATTGCATGCTTCATATATATATATATAAGCATTGTATACAATACCTAATAATCCACATGATTTGTGTAGTGAAGAACTATTAATAGCTTAAAATGATTACATTTGAGATTGCAATAAATTTGAAATATAATTATTATTAATTAGTGCAGATACCATAGTTTAAATAGTGACACTATAACCAATTTGCATTTGAATAGTCAATGTATGCATTTTTGTACTTCTAGATGACATACCTGGTAATATTGAATTATCTTAAGAAAATATCAGATAGGTTGAAAACCATGCATGCATTTATTAGCTAGTGATTATACAGATATACATCATGTCAACAAATTTTGTTATTTTTCTTTGATCGTCTCTTAATGAAATCAATCTTGGTTTATTTATATACCATTGTATAGATTTTTGTTAATATTTCTGTAAGATATGATAGCTCAAGTTAAAAAATTCCTCTCAAGTGATACAGAAAATAATTACATAGTAGAGCAATATGTAACAAAACGATCAAGCAATATATTACAAGAGACAATAATCAAAAGTGTATGGAAAATAATATTGTTTTTAAATACTTTAAAAATATTCATGCATTATTAAGTTTTGTCAGAAGCAAGAGTAAATTACCAGTATTTAGATGATAGGACAGTAACTAAACTTCAACATTGCCATAGCTGATTTTAGCCAGTTGCACATCATTTAGATCACATTCTTAGTGAATTAATAAAACAATTTAATTATTGTGTCCAAGATGGGATAAGTGAATGTGCAATTGGTATTTTTGGTGTCAAATTGATCTGTAAACAGTGATGTCAAAGATTTGCTTGCTAAAATAAACTTTTATGAAAGAAAGAAAGAAATTTTGGTCATTTGAAAGAAATTAAAGAAAATTTGCAAAATTGGAATTTCACAAATTTTTTTATACAATATAATGGAATGTGTTTGTAGGAAAGTGTATACAGTATAAGTAAATAAAAAGAAAGATAAATTTTCCAAAAATAGTTGAGAGGAAAAGAAGACAAAATTCAACAGCACTGCAAATCAAAACATAAACATATCTATAAAGGCCCCATATGGGTAAAATGGTGACACAAACATACTAACAAAAATTTGTTTTATTTATAAGTTTCCGTTTTAAAATAAAATTTAATTATGGCATTTGTGAACATAAATCTATTATAAGACCATGATAATTGCTAATAACAGTATGAAAAAATTATTTTAGTCATTTTCTAATAAAATTGCCTTCTAATTTATGTAAAATTTTTTTGTTTGTTTTAAAAATGAGAGTTCAAAAATAATTTTCTTTAATTCTAAATAAATTATTTTCTTTAATATTAAAGAGAGTTGTATATGTTCAAAAATGCAAAATTAGAGTTTAAATTTTATAAAATGATAAATATACTATTTAGTTTTAAATACTTGTGATTATCTGTTGCAACTTGGTTTAATATTTTGTTTAGAGAATCAAGTAGAAAAGATTATAGTTTGCATTAACAAAAATTTTTTTTATAATAATACTCAGATAAAATAGGTAAGAAGGCTCAAGAGATTATATCACATATTTCTAAGAGATTATTGTGTTAGTTTAATATTTCAAAATGTTAGCTATGAAATATCAAATTTAGTAATAAAGGAAGAAAGTTTATTAAAAAAAAAATTAAGTTTTATTAATAAAGTTAGTATCTTTAATGTGATGCAAATATTTTTAATTTTTTCAAAAAATGATTTAAGAATAAAAGTAATGTTTAATTTTTAAAAAATTTAAATTAAATTATAATTTTTTAAAATTACATTGTATTTCTATTCAAATTTTCTAGTTATTTTGACTAGATATACAATATACAATGCATTTATTTTTTGACAGTGTTCAATAATTTTAAAGAAAGGTGTTAATATATTTTGGCATTAATACATTGACTTATATTGTATTTTAAAATTATATTACAGTTGATCATAATTACATTTAACTATTATAATAATAGTAATAATAGAGATAAATGAAAATAATTCAAATTTGAAACTTTTTACTTGTGCATAGATATTATTCCAAAACTAGTTTTTACATTTATTCACTATTACAGTGATTTTAAAGTATTTAATATTATTTTCAGCTGGAATATACAGTGGTGATTGGTTAACAAACATAATCCTTTCCAAGACTCTGTTCGCTATCCGAATTGTTCATTAACTGATTATCGATTTACCATAGATTTTTATGGGAATTTGATTAATTCGTTCTGGAGACCCCAAAAATAAAATATATATACTTTCTTACTAGATTTATTTATATGTAATAATAAAAATACATATACTGTATACATGCATTTTTATTAAAAATACATATACTGTATACACAGTCTTGCATTTTTATTAGTCATGTTTTTCCATTTGTGGGGGTTAAAGAATCTGTAACGGCGATTGCTTTTTTTCTCTTCTTCAGGATTTTTCAGAAGTAATTAATAGCATTGTAATTATAGAGATCCCCAAGCGTATTAATCTCAACCTCATTTGGATGCTATTCTAAGACTGTTGGTTGGTCTGACATCCTCCCACTTCTTCAAAAGATCTTAAATAGCAGATATTGGCATTAATACTCTTTTTCAGAAGAAAACATATCTCCCAGAGTTTCTTGGTGTTATTCATTTGAGAGTTCTTGACATTCTTCTGTTGTCAGATCAGTTTTAGGTTCCATTATGAGCCCTTCAATGTTCTTTATTTCTCAAATGTGATTTTTGTTACTCCTTAAGCTGCTTGATTCTTCTTGATAATACAGTATCTTTCTTAGATAAGATTGAACTGCAGCCTACTGTAGACCTGTTCAAGCCATACTGCCAGTGGTATTGGCAATATGAATATTCTGATTTTATTGATATTGAGTTTGATTCTTTTATGTTGCCTTTAGAGGAGGGGGCTTTCGTTTATTGGATGTGGATAATTGTATGGTCTTACCTTGGGGTGTTCTTACCCGGATTTTGATCATGTTTTCTGATGTCATTCATTCTTGGGCTTGTGCTGGTTTACGTGTTAAGATGGATGCAGTTCCAGGCCGAGTTAATCAGGTTTGTTTTTAATTAACCGGCCTGGATTATAGTATAATCCAGGCCAGTTAACTCTAAATGTTCTAAGATTTGTGGGGCTAATTATAGTTTTATGCCTGTTGTTATTGAGAGAGTCTCTGTTGATGCTTTTTTGGGCTGGATGAGAGGTTTTTATTAACTAGATGGCTGAAGGAAAGTGCTGGTCTCTTAAACCATTTTATAGTTTTATTACTTCTAGTTGGTGCCTCAAATGAGCCCCAACATCAGACATCTGCCGACTCTCTACTTTTGCTATTATACTCTTATCTTTCGAAAATAAAAACCAACACAAAACTTAACGAGTGTTTGCCCGACAGTTTTGCGAATACTATAATACAATTGTTTCTGTCAGAAAAATAAAAGGCTGGAATTACAAGGGAGAGTTTCAAAATTTGGAGGAATACTATCTGATCAGTATATACTGGGTTGAGCATCGATGTTGACGTTTCCTGCACTCCAAAAAGTTTTGAATTGTTGCCTGAAGACAAGGGAAGACCAATCGGTATTCATTATTTTATGTTGCTTCTTCTTGTATTTATTTTGTGAGGTGTTCATTGTTTGAACATAAAAAATCTTTCACGAAAGTTTTCGTTATTTGATTTGTTCAT